AAAGTAATTAACCCTGTCACTGTGCAACTGGGTGGGATTTAGGGGTGGGATTCTACTGGTTCAGGCTGGTTGGGCGAACCAGTAGTTAGGGCAATGATTTGGGCACACACCCCCACCCCTGGGTTTTTCTGTCCTTTATTTCTGGGGTTTTCAGATCAGCTGATTTGCGTGGCACAGTGGATTGCAGCGCCTCAGCTGATTTACTTACCGGGGCTGTAGTGGAAGGTAAGTATTGGACCTAAAAAATGGGCTTTTAAAAATGTTGCACGCGCACAAAGCACATGCTCACTGGACTGGTTGTTACACTGGTGGAATCCCACCCCTGGGGCCTGCACCTGAAACTCCCCTTGTACCCACTCTGATTTATCCAACCACCAGGCCATGAGTGGTAGCCCCGGTTTTGTTCCTGGAGAAGATGGGGGTGTTGTGTTGATCATATGGGGATAAATGCAGTATTGCATAAAAAATGTCTACCCACTGCCCCTGAGGAAGGACATGTTGGTACATTTAGCCAAAGGAAGTTAGACTTCTCTAAATTAGACTTGCAGGAAGGAGGGTGATGAATGGAAAACTGTGTTTAATTGTCCCCTGGGATGTTTCCAGCTGCTCCTCCAGGAGCAGCCAATCAAGCAGCAGCTAGAGGGCCAGCAAACCCTCCTCGAGCGGCACCCGCCCTGGACCCCATTCCAGGTCAGCCCCAAGCTCCACAACGGGAAAGGAAGACTCCCCCCTTGGGGTGAAGTTTGATGGAGACCCGCAACAACTGGGATTCTGCGTGGCACACATGCTCAAGTACATGCAGGAGTACAGACAAGATTTCCAAACCCAAGGATCCCAGGTGAGAGTCATTACCCTAGCCCTGGAGGGAGCCGCTGCCAGGTGGAGGGTGACCCTACATAACACTGATGCACCAGAACTGTGGAACTTTGACTGTTTCATGATGGCCCTGCAATGCCAATTCGAGGACTCCCTCACTGATCACAAAGCATGCAACTGTATTAGTTGTGAAGCAGGGATGGTGACCAGTAGTAGAGTATGCTGAAAAGTTCCAGGACCTCGCTTGCTGTGTAAACTGGCCAGATGTTATCTTAGTAAGCTGTTTCAAGGATGGACTGGGTGATGACCTCTACAATGCCTGTGTGGCCTAAGGTGCACCGAACTGCCTACATGAGTGGTATCTCACTGCCAAAGAAGTGGAGATAGATATGGCCAGAAACCGGTACCTAGTGGGCCAAGTGTGGAAGACATCCCCACCCCAAGGGAAGCAGGAGCCGTTCAAACCGCAAACCACATTTGCTCCAAAACCTTCAACATGTTTCAAGGGTGGAAAGAAGCTGCAGAATGTTGTTCCAAACACCCACATGGAAACCAGAATGCCTGTGCAGGGGAACCAGCGCAGGAAGGAGACCGCCCTGAGAAGCAGGGAGACCATAGAGTTTCAATCCCCCTTCCCTCCTTGGGGATGAAACTCTCTAGCAGGAGGAACCAAACGCATTCAGAAATGATCCAAGGATGAGCCACTGGTAAGCAAACCAACTGAACCACTTACCCTCTCCGTAAGACTGTTTATCTCCAGCTGGGACAGGAAAATAAAAAAAATCTGCATTGTTGGACTCAGGGTGCACCTGCTGTTTAATCAGCCCAACCCTGGTAGGAAAATTGGGGATTTACATAAGAAAGCTGAAAAATCACTTTTTGCCAACTAGATGGGTCAGTGATGGTGGGGAGACAGCTTCTTTTGCCACCAAGCCCCTACAAATAGGCATGGGGAGCCATGAAGAAATACTTACATTTATAGTGGCTCCTGGCATGGAATGACCGCTAGTCTTGGGCATTGCATGGCAGAAAAAAAATGGAACCCCCAGAATCTATAACTGTCAATGTGTGCTCCCTTCAAAATCCAAGAAAGAAATACCCAGACTCCATGGATCAGAGCAAAGTTATTCTTTTACTGGAAATTGAAGAGGAAGGTACAGATGGATGTGATCCTTTGCGGGGCTACATGAAGGTGATAAACGTGTACTAGGAATAATTTGCCTAGGCTTTTAAGCAGTGGGGATCTTTGGGCAAGATATAAAAAGTGCCTGTTTTGAAAACAGGTCTGTGTCGACTAAAATAATAGTTATTTCTCACACTTTCTGGCAGTTTTACAATAAATTCCATAGAAATCTCTCTCCAGGGTGCTGAAAGTTTGGCTACCTTCTGTAAAAGTCCTGGAATTTTCCCTGACGTCTTCTTGCTACTGCACAAATGGTGCAGCTAGATACATACTTTCTATGTCCTTTTGTAGTGATGGCCACCAAAATTGTCTTTTAATTAGGTGTCAAGTCTTCACAGATCCAAAGTGTCCAGCTAATTTGGAGCTGTGGCACCTTGCCATTAAATACAGTCTCTGGCTAGTTGAAATTACAACTTCCCTCCCACCCAAACATCTTTCATTAAATAGCTGGATTTGTGGTTCAAAACCCTCAACTCCAGTGAAGTAGAGAAGAGTTGCTTTTACTGAGTTTGAAATGATAGCAGCGAAAGCAAAGCAAAGAATCTGAGTCAAAGGGTAACGAAAGTTATAGGTTGAAAGTTTCCGCAAATCCCTCCCCGCAGGGTCCCAGGCTGAATGTCCAATCCACGTCCCGCATGTCATGTGAAGCTCATCTTCAGGTATTTTTGCCCATCTGGAGTTCTGGGATGGTTGGCCTTGACTGGGTGTAAATAGCTCCACTCAGCAGGCACAGTATTTCTTGAGAGCAAACCTCCCTTTTAGTTCACATGGGTCTTCATCGCACCAGCGCACTTCCCAAACCCAAATGCCTTGAGCCCCACTCCGTTACTACGGCAGCCAACGGCAAGCATGCGCCAAAGGGAAAACCCATGCTGGAGTTCCGGCTGACATCGCTCTGCAGTGCTTTACAGCTCTGAGCGATTTGCAGAGTCAGCATATTTGTCCCCAACAATTTGGGTTCTTTTTTATCGACCTCAGAAGGATGGAAGGCTGAACCAACCTTGACTCGGTCAGAACTGAACTCCTGGCTGTTCTAACCACGTGCTGTCGTCATGGCTCTTTAAAACAGCTGTGGTGATGCTGTTTTAAAAAAAACACAATGACAATATTTTGTGGCAGGATATATTAATGGCAACTGGGACCGACAGCCTGTCATTAAATGAAGCAGTCACAAAGTGAAACCACAACTATGCTTATGGCTTTACTTCAGCTTTCCACACGTGCAAAGACCCTAAATGAAAAGCTTGGTTATAAAGTTATTATTTTGTCACCTCATAACTGCAAAGCATCACGAATGAGGAAGTTACTAAAAGAGAACTATCTGTATTTGCAAGATACTACGCTGTTTCTAGATATTGGTTTTCACTTTTTGTGTTTTGGCCCAGCAAATGAAGGACAATAAAGGATGGATGATAGCTTTGGACCCCAAATTTCCAGAAGTTCAAAAAGACTGCAGCTAAGGCTTCTAACAAAAATCCATCCACTTCTTGTAAAACTTTTCAGATATTTTCAACATTTTGTACATGCATATTTCAACTGTTATAGCAAAAAAATATGTAATTCAACATTTGCTAGTAATTTCCATTTTTAGAACATTATTTTCTATAGTTCCTATGAAATCAGATTTTTTTTTAAATATACATTCTGACCAAACATTTTAAAACTTATTGCCTAATTTGCAATAAATATTTGATATGCAAAAAATGTGAAATGAAGTTCAGTTCTAATACTTTATATAGCATTATACAATTACCCATTCAGGTGGTTCATTATTGAAATATAGGAGAAATATATGAAGATCTATTGAATATGACCATCCCAAAAATTTATTCTGCCATAAGGTTTTTTAGATGTATGTTGTTGCATATTAGTACCCAGACTGGAAGTCAGAAAAATTACAATTCAGAACTGTCGTAGAATATCATGTTAATGAATTATTTATAGCAATACATAATGAAAATACTGAAAAGCTTAAATTTATTTTCATTAAGTAATATTGCATAGAGTGAACATTCTATTGTCATGTGCAGTTTACAGCTGAATATTTGTAAAACATGGTTGTCAAATCTTTTAAAGTATAAACGTGAAAACAAAGGCATATAGATTGTCAATCATCACATATTTCCTTGAAACGAAGTAACTTGTGAGCTTTGTAAACAATGTATTCTTACACTTTTAAAGTGGAGACAGTGCTGACTTAATTATTCTTTCATTTACCGTATTTATCGGCGTATAACACGCACTTTTTCCCCCTGAAAATAGGGGGCAAATGATGTATGCGTGTTATACGCCGATGTCCAGGGAGCGGAATCCTCTTTAAGGGATCCCGTTCCCAATAGTGCCTAGCGGCGGCGCAGCATCGTGACGTGATGTCAGCGCTGCGCCCGCCGCATATTTTTTTCCTGAAATTTCCCTCTTAAAGGGAATGCGTGTTATACGCCTGTGCGTGTTATACGCCGATAAATACGGTAGTTAAGTAAAATTGAGATTAGAGATGATAATATATTTTGCCATTCCTAAAATGTAAGCCCCTTCAAATTTATCGGATTCTCTGCAGGTTTGTTGAATTGAATTATAAAGAATAAACCTCAATACAAATATAGCTCTTAACTCATTGCAATTAGTAATATGTACTAATTCAACTTCAAAAATCCCTACTAAGTTAAAAAACAATTCTGCAAAGAACAATTCAAGATAAGCCCATAAAGTATTATGGTATAAAACATAATAACCAATCCCCATTCACTGTGATATCACTAAGCAAATCCTAGCCTTTCTGAACTTGTAACCCAATGTTAGATGCAAGTATTTAAGACAGAGGTTCCCAAACCCTGGGCTGCAGCCTACTACTGGGCCGTGGCCTGCACGAAGCAGCACTTGTGTGAGTAGCGAACAAGCATGTGTGTGCGAAACTGCACTTGCGCAGGCAGCGAACCCTTTTGCTCATGTGCAAAGCTCCACTCACAGATTGGAAGGGACTTGAGCGGAGGGTGCTTGCATTCTCTACTTGTGCAAGTGGAGTTTTGTATGCAAGCACAAGTGCCCCCCACTCATGTGAGTGGAGCTTTGCGCGCGAACAGAAACACCCTTCACTGAAGCACCCTCCGGTTGCATGCAGAGCTCCATTTGTGCGGGTGGAGGGAATGTGCCCACACCAACACAGCTGTGTCCACGTGCGTGCATGTGCCTGCTGATCACATGACTTCTCCATGCTGGGCCAGGCTGCCAAGGTGGAAAGGTTGGGGACCACTGATGTATGATACATGTGGTTTCACAAGCTATGCTTCATCATTATTTTCAACCTTCAACTTGTAGATACCTAACATGCTCACTATCTTCATTTTGTCCTCAATGGGAGATAATGCAAACTTCAAATAACAACATATTAGAGCACACCATTTCTGTAGGAACAACCTTCAGGTATCAAATATTTTCCGACATTGGTCTGTTCAGTACAAAAGTCTGGACAACAGAACTTGCAATGATCACCTTTCCTTAGTTCTTCTGTTACTAAGGTCCCTTATACTTTTTGTGAGTTGTTTTAGGAACACTTTGTATATTCTTCCACAATAGGTATGTTGTGTCTTTTGTAATTCCTCTTCAAGAGGTAGAAGCAATGCATGGAGAAGGTCGTCTTCAAACGAATACTGGAAAAGTATTAGAAACATTGTATTGATAAGTCAGATTTACCAATGCCATTCCAAGAATGCCAGGTTTTCTGATGTAGTTCTGAAACTGCAGTTATATTACAATATTCTGCATTTTATAAATATGTATTTCTAAGTAAAATAATCTAGGTCCAGTAAAAAAAACATGCCCCTGCTTTTAATATTCTTAATCATCATCAGGCAAGGCAGCAACACCATCTAATTATTCACAATGTTCAGCTACTGTCACTTTAAATAAAGTTAAAAAATGTAAAAAACCACAAAAATCATATTAGCAGTTAAATTGAGGCATTAATTTTTGTGGAGTACATTGTTCTAATAAAATGGCTTTAGTGTGAAATACACACATACTGTATATATAACTTTCCCCAGAATATTCAACTGATATATTAATAAACAATATATTGAGTAGAAACAGCATAAAATAACAATCTATGAATCATTTAAAAAGTGGTACTTTCATTAAACTGAGTTATAAACAAGCACATGCAGTATTTAATGAAAATCTGGACTATTGCTTTTCAGTTACAGGTTTGTTTAATGTTATAAATGATGTAATATATGCATATACAACATTACAAATAAAACAATTTTATTATTTTCCTGGAATTGATCTACATTTTTTCTGTGCTTTATGCATAGACAAAAGCTGATCATAAATAAAGCCAACAGTTTTCTTAATATTTTTGGTAATAAAGGAATTAAGGATTTGAATTTTTATGAGACCACATTTTTTTTGGTGTAATAAATTCTAAGGCCCCCAATAGTACTTTTTTTTTCTCATTTTTATACCTATATGACAACATGCTACAAAGCACCATTAAAATATACTATTGATTTTTGAATATTATATACAAGATAGGACGAACATTAAAATAAGCAACATTATGACATTTATATCTTTTCAGTGAGTATACTGAAAGGCTGATATAAAGTTTATTAGAAATAGTTTATAACTGGCAAACTTAAATTATCTATAATATTTAAACAGTACAAAATAAAAATAAGAAAAATTTAAAACTATGACATTGAAATAAAACTTTTCAATGACAAAGCACCACATATAATTTTAGCAATAAAAAGGAAACAAGGTATTGTCATACTCTTGTGTAGAAATTGTTATTTCGGTACACCAGTGCTAATTTACTAATTATAAGCATTTATGGAAGCAATATATTACATGGAATTTTTTGAGCATAATATTGTGCTCCTGAGCCAAAATAATGTGTCTCACCTGGTCTTGGTGAATTTAAAATTAAAAAAGCTTGTATAGAGGTTTTCAGTGTCTCACTGAAATCAATACTGTAACGACGTAACTTCTGCCCTTCTGCACAGGCCTTACTTCCTTTCAAAGTCTATTTTATTCTTGAATCTTTCAGAACATATTCTGGAATGTGCACTTTCAATATATTTATTTATTACTGTATAACTGGTAATAATAGATTTATTGGAAAGCTTCAGGCGGAGTTCTAGAAATTATTTTTAATTTTAAAAGTTCAAATCAAAATGTTTACTTACATTTTTAATTGCATAATAAACAGCACGAAATGTTGGCTGCTTATCATCATGGTAAACTCCTCTATTTCCATGAAGAATGAATATTCCTTCCTTTTCTGCCTCCTTGCAATTGCTCCCATAAATACAATGGTCGGGCCGATAGTTCCATTGACAAGGAAAAACAAAAAGGCTTTCTATAGAGAAAAACAAAAAATCGTTCATTAATTTTTCTAAGCAAACTGTTCACTGAAGGACTGTCAAGTCCAAACCCTTATTCAATGGAAAAATCAAAATTAAAGCATGCCTAATATTTCTGTCCAGACTTTGCCTGAATATTGTACATACAATAAAGTGTAACTTATACCCTCACTTGATTTGGTTCAACTGTTGAAATGTTGATTAGGCATGACAGAGACATTTTGGTACTTGCATTGGTTCGTCAATAAACTTTATTTCCGCTGTACTTAGATTGCACGTCAAAGGTGGCTCATATACATCTTAAGACCAGTTAATCAGCTCCAGCAGAGTGGATGCTCTGGTGTTGATTAAAGGTGTTTTTCTTGCACATACAGATAAATCTCCCAGCATGTCATCTGCACTCTTCAAGTCAATGATCTTTTGCACACCAGCTCTCCTCTCTTGAATGTCATCTCAACACAAGAGTGTCTGGATTATCATTTCACTGAAAGCATACCATGCTGAGCGCTGAGTGGTTGCCAAAACAGCATCTACCACAGCCTTCTTTTGCAGTCTGACTTCCTGCAGCTGGAACAAGACATGATACAGGCTTTCAATCCGGGACTGTTTTACTTTAATGTTGAACCAGCAAGGGTAGTACACACTCATGATGTATTCCACTATCATTCTTAAGTTTTGGAGAGTTTTGCTTCTAATGCTATGTTCTGACACCCATATTCGGCAAAGCCTATTTGCAGTTGTCAACCAGCGTGGATGGCTTGCGGGGCCAATTTCCAGAAGAGCCAGATCTGTGGGAAGTTCTCCTGTCCTCGTTGCCTATGTGATACTATATTCATATACACTTGATCCATAGAGGAATCCTTCACAATACTGTTGCTCAGTGAAACAAGAGGCTCACTAATCGAAACTCAGTGAATGAAGGACCAAGTTCTGTTGCAATGTGCAGCATATTGTCAATTTTACCTGCCCATTTGTTATTAGACAAGGTCTTTCCATCCAATGTTGTGATTAAGTATCATAGGTGTAACTCATTCATATGGAGTACACAAACCAACCAGATCAACTTCCGATCAAGCTTCCGATCTTTATCCACCACCTTCAGAGCCAGTATTAACATTTGTAGAATTTCCTCCAATGGCTTCAAGCTTTTGTCAATGCCTTTCTTCTTCATGAGATACATCAGATTATCTGCAATAATGTGAGTAGGTTTTCCTATGTCTCTTGCAAGACTGGCTGCTGGGGACTTTCCAGCACCATCACCATTTCGTTCTCTTAATAGTAGGTGGTATCTGAGAATATCTTGCATTATTGAGAGTCTCTGCCAGTCCCAATTAGGTTTCTAGTATGAATGAATGTTCCCAGTCTTGTTTTTATAAAGAAGCCATTACAGATCAGTTATCATAGGAAACAAGGCCAGCAGTATCAACACTGCCAGGGAAAATAACATTTAACAAAAAGAGAAAGACAGGTGAACCTGTGAAATGAAATAATCAAAATGTTAAGAAGTTACGATATTTATGTAGACCAAGCACATTTAATTATATTAAAGTAACCAAATATCTTTACAAACTCCAAGGCATGTCACAACTTTTGAACATCCCTAATGTTTGGAAATTGAAAGTTGAAAAATTTTACACACACTAAATTTCTTGGGAGCATTTTAAAACACAGTACATTTCTATAACACAAATAGCAATATCATATTAAGACTGCAAATTAAAGTTGTATTTTTAAGAGCAACTTACCAGGATTATGAAAAAACATAATATTCAAAAGATCCTGATCACCCCATGTTATATTCAACTTGTATTTTTTCAGCAGTGGCATGAGAATTTCTTCCCAATGTAATCGTACGGATGTCATATCATTCTTCAAAATCAAAATGCCAGAATTAGAAAAAGGGGATCGAGATCCTACTTTTTATGACAAAATATATAATCTTTATCATACAATGCCTCATTTTTATACAGCATTATGTCACAGTAATAAGTCTTTCTGATTTAAATAGGCAATGTTTTTTTATTATTAAATATTTATAAAAAATAAAACCAAAAGAATATTCAGTTTAGATTACACAAGATCAAAGTACAAACTTCTACAAGTGTAACAAAAAGTATTATATATTGACCCAAGGGTCAATATATAATACTTTCCAAAAGTGAGTAAGAGAGGATATGTAAAAACAGAGATTTATGTATTTTAGTGTTGTCTAATAATGCATGAAACATTTCTACACTAAACAAGATTATGTTTAGCTAGTTATAAATATCTAAATTTGAAAATGATACACGAATCTAAAGAATAGTTTCAATTTTCAAATGCAAGGTTAAATCCTGGCTCTTGCTTTTTCTTTTTTATAAAATCTTTCAGGACACAAATGACACATGGAATCCAAAGGCATGCTAGAAGCCACCCAAAAGTCATATTTTCCAGTTCAAACATTTTACAATTAAACGGGTAGTAGATGTTGTATTTCCACACCCTGATTTGGAGTTTGCATAAGGAATAAAAAACTAGGCTACATTTTTTTTTACATTGGAATGAAACATTTCATGAGTCTATCATGTCCTTATAAAGAAAATGATCTGGGTAAATTGTGAGAATGAAACAAATGTCTTAAAATGACTGTACATAATCTTACATGCATTCTAAAGCTTTAAGTCAATAGTCTAATAGCTCCACCTTCAGGTTAGATTGCATACATATTCATAGTACAAACTAACTGAGTCAGTTTAACATGAAGTTTCAAGATAAAAGAACAATGAGAAATGAGTAGGTGAGAAGAAGCAGATAAAAAATGAAAAAAATAAATGACAAAAAGGATTCCATTAAAAAACATTAATTGAGAATCATCAGTATATGGTGTTTATATGGGATTAGTCAGAATCCATTCTGTGATAATACTAAAAACATGCTGTTTTTAATTTACAGAAAAGTACTGAAAATGAAAAAGAACCAAAGCACACTACCTTGAAATATTTTCTTCTAATGCGGGTCATGTTCATTAACATTACTCCAGAGTTGATTCCAGTTTTTCCATAATATGGGTGCCTAGCAAAGCGATTATACCACCCAATACGAGGCTCTTCATGCTCTGGTGCCATAGCAGCAATCTGAGTAGAGTTGAATTTTTTCAGGAAAGACCAGATATCATCAACTGGTCTTAAGAACAAGATGTCTGTGTCAACATATAGTAGAGAGTCCACATTACTGAGGATTAACTATAGAAGATAAAAATTTTGGAAACAAAATTAACATCAAACTCTGACATTTTATTCAATTAGCTATTGTGAAGATTTTATTTATGATTATTGAACTACGAAAGTTGTTATTTAAATCTCTTTTTTAAACAATTTTTTTATTTTGATTAATTGAATATAAAGCATACAAGAGTAAAAAAGCACATTAACTGTGATATGATTCCCATAGGTTGAATTTAATTTTTTTAAAATAAGCTGTTACATTAGCATTCAATTTTATTTTTGAAATCTTAGTGATTTTCTGTTTTCCTGCTTTTAATATTGGAAGCCGGACTCTTATAAAAGAAGTTGCTTAAACATTGTTTTCCGTTCAATATAAAGCTCAAAAAAGCCTAAACTTTATTTATCTGAATGTTCCCATAAAAAAGAGTAAAAATTATAGTCCTGGGCATAAATTATAAGTTGATGAGACATGGCAAAAAGGAATGTCTCCAAGGAAAAGTTTATAAAGAAAAATTCCAGAACAATAAAGAGGCCGCTGAAGTTGATGAAGGATTAAGCAAATCAGTAGCTAAATGAAGATGGCAAAATAATAACAGGTAGCTGGACTTCCGGTTGAACTTCCCCAAAGACAGACCGTTGACTGCGGACCGTGATCGTCCACAGCTTTGATCTGTGCTTCTTCGTCGGAGATAAGTCCAGATTAGGGGCAGAAGCTGTCTCATTGGGGCGGTGGCAGAAGGGGAGACCGCCAGCTGGGTAGAGGGGAGCCGCATATCCCCTCTCTGGCTTGGCAAACACTCCCTCCCGAAGACGTCTGAAGCGGTGGTCTAAAATGGCCACCCTGAAGTGGAAGAGTTAGCTGGAATAAGATTGTGCAGGAGGAGCGGTGAAAAAGAGGACACCATAGAAACCAGGAGAATTTTGGCATAATGTACCCTGGTTTTGAAATCTTTTAACAACATTAAGGAAGTGGATTTAAGCGGCGGACAAAGAAATTAAGAAAGAAAATAAGTGACAGATGAAGTGGCTTTGTACTTAAAAGGAAGAAGCCGGAAGAAGCAGCTTGTGTTTGAAATAATTAAATATAAAACCCTGACACCAAACCGGTTTATTAAAGCTGGACTGGGCTGTTGTCAAGGTGGAAAATAAAATTTGAAAATCAATGTATGGATTTACTGATATCGGAACTTTAAAACTTTGAAAGAGTGAAGACGGGAAAAAGAAAAAGAATAGACTTTGAATACAGCAAAGAGTCCCATCTAGTGGAGAAGGGAATTGTTTATGCAATTTCTTTCTATTTTAAAACTTGGATCCGTTATCTACTTGATACGAAATAACTGGAATTAGGATACTACAAAATAAGAACTTTGGAAAGTGAAAGTGAAATTTGAAAACAAGGGGAAGTTGTGGGTTTTTCAATTACAACTTTAATTAATGGATATTGAAAAGTGGAATTAATCTGGAAATCTTTGGAGGAGTCAGTAAGAGTTAAACGTTGGAAAAACTTTAATAAACATTGTTTAAAGATGGCAGGAATGTTACTGAACCTTAAATTGGAACTTAAAAACATAAAAGATATGCTACAAAAAGAAGGCAAATCATTTGGTTTCGCATTGCAATCTTTGGAAATGGAGGTCTTCCACCTACTGCTCCTTCCTTGCATGTTGCTTCTTCTCGGATTATTCTCGCTTCAAACCTTTCTTCTTGGATTTTGATTGTTTCCTCTTCTCGCAATTTCTCATCCTCTTTCCCTCTAAAATATTCTCCATAAAATAATTCTGTTTTCTCTATTTAATTTATTCTATGTCTTTGCTCCTGCCAGGTGAACCTTCAGGAAACAGCCATCTATAATTCACACCCTTCTTAATTAACATTGTTGTCAAGAATTGATACTCTCTTCTTATTTCCCTCATTTTCCTTGGTACTTATTTTAGGACCACAATCTCTTTGTCTTTGTATTTCAATGGTTCATCTCTTGAGCTTTGTAGAATTTGTGTTTTAATTGCCTTTTTGGTAAATCTTACATGAAATTCTCTAGGCAATTTATTTCTCATTGCATATCTTGTAAATACTCGATACACCTCATCTATACCATCCATCATTTTCTCTTTGGATATCTTCAAGGCGTCTGCCAGCATTTCTATCATTCTATTATTTCAGCAAGGTTTTCTCCCTTTTCTTCTACTATGTTTTAAGATAAAAATCTGCCCTGTCTAACTCCCAGCCCAGCATCCCACTTCCTCTATCATGTTCGACAACAGTCAGCCTATTATCAATTGCACCAATTTTCTTGTCTCTTTGGTCAACTTTCTCTTCTATTTCTTGAAATCTTTCCTCATATTTCATCATTATTTGTTGTACATTCTTCACTTCTGTTTTCCTGTTCTGTCTCCTATTTTTTGTACTACTTGCATTACCATTTGTAATATGACCACTTTCTCTTTTTCCTTTTCCTGTTGCAGCATCGTGTGTCTTGATCGCTGTCCAGTAAGTAGGGATGATGATGTGGGTATTGATGAGCCTGTAGTCTTCTTCATTTCAAATGAAGATATAAGGTATAATTCTAATTAACAACCCACAGATAGAATCTTCAGGTTCTTCTTTACCAATTAAAAAGGGAGTTGTATATGTATATGTAAAGGGTACAGTAAAAGATGAAAGATAAAAATGAAAATAAAAATAATTCATAGAGGAGCGCAAAGAGCCAAGAAAAGAACACAAAATTAGTCCAAAATTAATCCATCAATGATATTTAAAATTAAAAATATGGGAATAGAAAAAGATAGGGGAAAAACAAACAAACCCCAAAACCCAAAATGTGCTTCAAAAAATAAGGATCAAGAAAAAAAAAAAGAATGTCGAATAATGGAGTCAAGGCTTAGTTAAAAATAAAACCAAGCAAACCAGAAAAGTCAGGCCATTCGCAGCTGTCAGCAAAAAAGAAAAAATAGCAAAGGCTTTATTGTTAAAACTTCTGTCACAGAGCAAACCTCTGTCACTGTATACTGTCCAAGGCTTGCTATAAACAAATTTCAGCAATATCGGATCAAGGTCGCCATAAGCTCTTTCCTCTCAGCTCCAATCTCCAGCCATTAAAGTTATTTTACAAGAGGAACACCTGTATAAACATTCCTTCAGTGTTCTTCTCTAAATATAGATCTAGCTGGAAAGTTCTCACAACTTTTATTTCATAAAATAAAATAAAAATAAAAAACCCTCAAGGTGGCAGTGTTGCTTTATTTTCTCAGCCTTTGCTACTATTTTACAAAATAGCCAAAGCAGGGAAAGTGAAAGTTTAGAATTCCCTTTCAGAGAAAAACAAAGGAAATTAACAAAAAAAATCAAATTTCCTGTTTAAGATCAATGATAAATTTGGTTCTTCAATACTTATGGAATAAAAATGTCCAGTCCAGTTGAAAGAAAAAATAAAATCCTTTTGTATGCTATCTCACTGTTTAAAAAAAAACAAATAAATTTGACATTGGGCTTATTTTCGCCACTGTCCCTCTTTTTGTCTTCAATGCTTTTCTTTCCCCCTTGGGGTGATCTCAGTCCCAAAAGTAAATTAATTAAATCTCACCCAGAGTCAACACTCTTTCTTCTTCCTTCCAGAGCTGTCCCAACTTTCAGCACCTTTAATGGCTGCTTCCATCACAGCTGGTTTGAAAATCTTCTCCTGGATCAACCAGGGACTTTGCGATGTCCCTGGGATCTACAGGACGTGCTCTTCTTGTTCACCGTCTCTTCGGGACGGTTTGGGTCTTGCTGGACCGTCCAGCTGTGGGAATATCGGCATTGGTCCTGGAGCCCCAAGGTCCTTCATCTGTCTCATGGCGACATCAGCCCCGCCACACCCACAAATTAGGCCACGCCCACATAATTGGTTAAGAAACGTGAATCCCACCCCTGGGTCGGGGGCAGTGAGGATGAGTTTGTAGCACCAAGGGGACGGTGGACTGGAAAAGTTTGGGAACCACTGCTCTAACCAGATAACTTTGTATTTATTCTTCTCCATCTGGTTCTTAGAGCCTCTAAGCGGTGCAACTGCACAACTGTATCACCTGTACATCCTAAGGATATAACACACCCAGATATTATCAAAGTAAAAAGGCAAAAGGCTGATCAGTAAGCACCTTAGAAGCAATGCAGTAATTACCAGAAGTCAACAAAGATGTATCAAGAAGTCACCCCAGCTTTTTAAAATTTGTACTGGTACTTACATGAAATCTGTACTTCAACTTACAGTCATTCCTTTAGTGATTGTTCAAAGTTACAATGGCATTAAAACAAGTGAGTTGTGACCAGTTTTCACACTTACAACCATTATAGTATCCCCACGGTTACATGATCAGAATTCAGGTGTTTGGCAATTGGTTCATATTTATGACAGTTGCTCTGTCTCGGGATCATGTGGTCACCTTTTGTTACCTTCTGACAAACCAAGACAGTGGGAGAGCCAGATTCACTTAAACAACGGTGGCGAGAAAAGTCATAAAATGGGGCAAAATTCACCTAACAATTAGTAACAGAAATGTTGGGTTCAATTGTGGTCAGTAGTTAAGGACTACTTATAACTTCCTTAGCATGTGGCAATGCAGCTGTTATTAGTAAAATATCTGATAGAGATCCCATATTATTTTGGATAGCAATTAGAAAGTCAGTGTAAAATGAAAGAAACTCACAATATTTAGCATCAAACAGAGAAAAAACATGGGGAAGTTATGGTAGTAGTCTCCTAACATTTGGAAGGAAACAGACAAAAATGGGCAAGATTGTTTGAGTAAAAGCTGTTTTTTCTTGGCTTATTAGAATCGTTAACTTGTTCATCAATTTATTAGAGAGGAAACCGTTAAGGAGGTACAACCCTACCAGAATTCCGGTAATACTTCCAAGCCAAAGCACAATCATCTTTAGTGTGGAGTAACTGGAATACTGAAACAGGAATCTCAACCTACAAGTAATGACTTACCTCTTCATATTCAACTTGATTATGCTTCAACTTGGTAGTACTTACCTTACTTTTGAAAGGGCAGAGCTAGTCCTCCACATTATTACATTGTCATAATACGCCAAATAAATAACTGAAGAGGCTACATTTTATGTTCATTCAAACAGCAATAGGTTACCAAATAACTCACATTTCTCTGGAAGCATATTTATTTATTACATTTATATGCTGCCCATCTCATTCTGAAAAATAACTCAGTTATTTAAGTATAAAATAACACTTGTTTCACTTATGACTAGAATTATTAATTTTTTAACAACTACCATTGCTACTTACTGGTAGAAAAAGTCTTTGAGAAGCACAGGGCTTGAACAATTTCTTCCATTCTCCTGCGTTCTCAGTTGGAAATGAGATAGGGTACAGAGTATAATTAAAATTTTCATTATGTGCCAAATTGTCAAGCTGAAAAAAACAACATGTTTTAGTATTTTTGTATCAAAAGTATATAAGTAAGATTAACCATTTTTTTAATTAAAAAAACCTCTTTATTGAAGTTAAAATATTAAAATACAAATATGTCTATAGAAAGAAAAATGAGTTGGTACATTTCACCATCATTCTTTGACAGTACAAAAAAAATACTTGGCTATATTCATACATTCCAAATAATCATACATTTCAACAGGTTCTCATTAATCATCAACATATACAAATATTTTTGATTTTATTTTTAATCTATAATTTTCCTATTTCTACTGTCTATCCATTGATACCAATTGTTCCAGGCTGCATAAAAATTCAGTGTCTTCCTTGTTATTCAGTTCTTTGGTGAGTCTATCCATTTCTGCGCATTAAAATTTTTGATGGATTATTAAACAATCTGACGTATGTTAGACATTTTCCAAGCTTGTGCTAGTGTAATTCTTGCTGCCATAATAATATGTATAATCAAATATTTTATTTATTTTATTTTATTTTTTATTTTATTTATTTTATTTTATTTGGTTTGTCAATTGCTTACAAGATAATAGGTATAAGTAAAAACATAGTTATGAATACATGGATACATATAAGAAAAATAAAAGAAACAATAGGACAGGGACGGTAGGCATATTGGTGCGCTTATGCACGCCCCCTACAGACCTCTTAGGAAAGGGGTGAGGTCAATAGTAGACAGTCTAAGGTTAAAGTTTTTGGGGTTTGGGGAAGAAACCACAGTCAGGTAGAGTATTTCAGACATTGACCACTCTGTTGCTGAAGTCGTATTTCCTGCAATCAAGTTTGGTGTGATTAACTTTGAGTTTGTATCTATTGTGTGCTCTTGTATTGTTATGGTTGAAGCTGAAGTATTCATTGACAGGTAGGAAATTGCAATGTATGATTTTATATACTATACTTAATTAATGTTTTGGAGGTATTTACCCTTAATGATCCCCAGGAGAAACAATTCAGGCTTCAGTTCTATTCAACAGTGAGTGATTTCAATTAGCCATTTTTGTATTTTAATCCAACATTTTTTTAATTTCTGGGCATAGTCACCAGACATGGAAAAAAAGTACCTTGTGCTTATTTGCATTTCCAAAAGTTAGGGTTTAGGTTGGGATACATCTTTGCAAGCCTGGTTGGGGCTAAATGCCAACGGTAAAACATCTTGTATTGGTTTTCTTTGTATGTGGCAGATTTTGTTAAAGTATAATTTTTCTTCCACATTTTTTCCTAATCTTCTAACTCAGTATCGTGTCCAAAATTTTTGGCCCAAGCTAACATTGGCCCTTTTACTATCCCCTCCTCTAAATCAAAATTTAATAAATAATTGTATATTTTTTATAGTAATTTCTCTTCCGGTCCCAACAATAATTTGTCTAATTGAGTTGCATCCAATTCAAATCCATATTCCTCTAAATCTTTTTTGTATCACAATTGCAACCGAGATATAGCCACCAATATATATTTATTCCCTGTGCTTTTCATTCTTGATTGGTTTTTAATATCCGATTGTACAAAATTTGATTATATCTGGCCATTTTACTAACATCCAATGTGGTGGGGTGGATCATTGCTTCCATAGTGGATAACCAGGCTGGGATTTTAATATAATGATTTTTCCCATTTTCCTCCCAGGTCTTTATCAGTGAATCTCATAAGATACGTCTATGGAAGTACAAGTGTTTCTTATTTCTGGCATTCCATATGGAGACATATCACCTCATCTGGATGTTATGTCCTTCCAAGGTCAAAATTCTCCTATTGTTTAAATTAATCCATTCCCTGATCCAAACCAAGGATGCTGCATTATAATAAGTCTGCCATGCTGGGAGTCCAAAGCCACTTCTACTATCCTGTAGATAAATTAATTTTATCCGTGCTTTTTTTCCTGACCATACAGATTTCGTGGTTATTTTATTTAAATCTTTAAAGAAATTTTTATCTAATTTTATGGGGAACATTTGAAATAAGTAAAGAAATTTGGGTAGAATATTCATTTTAATTGTTGCGATTTTCCCTAATAATGAAAGCTATAGTTTCCCCCATCTATCCAGGTCTTTTCCAATTTGTTGTAATAATTTTATATAATTATCCTTTTTTAATGCTGAACACCTTGCCCTTAACCAAAATATTTCACCTTTTTACAATTTGGAGCCCCTTTACTTCTTCTAATTCTCCTTTCTCTTTTGCAGTTAAATACTTAACAGCATTTTGGATTTTTATTAATTTTAAGGCCTGCTACCTCCCCATATTTCTCTAACTCTTGCAACAAAATAGATCCAGATTCTAGAGAGTCCTTAATAAAAAAAATACCATATTGTCTGCAAATTCCTGTAGTTTGTATTTTTCTTCTTTAATTTTGGTTCCCTTTATCTAAGCATTTCATCTAATTCTTATTAATAATGTCTCTAAGTTCAGGATAAAAAGTAACAGTGACAGTGGACATCTCTGTCTGACTTATCTTAAATGGTCTTGTCATCTCCCCATTTATTATTACACTTGCCTTTTGAATGGAATAAATCAATTCTATCATCTGTTCAAATCTCTGTCCAAATTTCATAGTTTTAATTTGTTGGATCATGAATTCCCAATTCATGTTATCATAGGCTTTTTGGGCGTCCAAAAAGACAAGAGCCACTTGTCTTCCTGGATGAGCCTCATAATTCTCCAATATATTAATTACTATTCTTGTATTAGAATAGTGTAACTCTATTTATGACTGAGAAGACAGCAGGGATTCCACACATCCACAATGAAGTCACAATATACCCAAATTACATACTTTTTGCTCTTGTCGCTGTTTTCCAGTGACAAAGTTAAAAAAATATTCACAGAATACAGATCACAGATTGGCAGATTTAGATAGTGAAGTCAAGCATACTTAAGTTTGGTGGAAAAATACAAATTTACCTTAATCCAAGCATGCATTCTTTTATGAATACTTACTATTTCTCTGAAGTCACTCTGTAATGATTCCTCAGCAAAAATATGAAACTGAAGACTTCTGATGCTGAAAATAAGAGCTGATTTCAACATAGTAACGGTTTCCTCCAATCTTTCACCACAGGCTACCACCGCCAAATGCATTCTTTCAGAAAGCTGAGGCCTTGGAAAATCATATCTGATGCAAAAAAATACAAGAAATAATTGTTTCCATGGAAATAATACTAAATGTAAACATTCTATATAACATTTGAAACAAAGATTCTTTGTTAAAGTTAGTCATTAAAGTAACTTAATCACAATTTTAGAAAAAGTAGTTATGACAACCAAGAGAATGACAAGGATATATTTCCTAATTGTTATTAAATCAGGTTTTTAAATAACTTTTTTGTAGTTTTAATTCTAAATGTACTATAAAAATATATCTTCCTACCTTATCTGCTGATACTTTTATTTGAAAAAGCATCTCATTTTAGATTGTTTTCTTTTAATAAACACGTTTAGTTGAGAATGTAGCCCACTTAAGTTTCCATCTTACAACAAATTTTAATATTTTCTCATATTATTCCTCAGTAGCTTTCATTACTATTTTCTTTATAATCTCTTCCTAACAATATTTCTTGCTGCTAACATAAATGCTTTGCTGCAAAGGAAATAAACAAAGAACCAAAAAATAAAATCAACTACAATACTAATAGCCAGGCTAAAAAAACGTTAACGTACCACTGTAAAACACATGAACTTTTTTAAAAAAGTTTTTTATTTATTTTGACAATAAACATTGACAAATACAAACATAAAACATCAAATAAAACCATATTTACATTGTACAGTGTGTTGGTTGGTACATATCTTTTGTGCATGATATCAACAGTCTTTCCCATCTAAATTTATATTAAAATTCATATTATATAGATCAACTATGCATATTATATTACATTATTGTTAACTCATTAGACTTTAATTATAAATTCACGTCATCCTTTACAAGCAAATCTCAACTTTTACAAAACCTAGTTCATAATATCATTCATTTCACTGTAATCAGTTATATCATTACATTGTCTTATCTTTACTATTATGTTGTATTTATATTATAGTATATTTTATTTCCCTATTTTCTTATCTAGCCATTGATAAAATAAATCCCAAATTTTATAATATTCTTTATCTTCTTACTCTCTAATTGCTAATGTCAATTTACTCATTTCTGCACATTCCATTATTTTCTTAATCACCTCCTCTTCTATCGGAATTTTTTCACTTTTCCAGTTTTTGGCAAATACAAATTCTTATTTTAAAAAATCCAGATGATTTTTTTATTATATTTTTGCAGGAGCACTTTTACATTCCTAGACAAGAGAGGCTATTACAGAGAGACAAGCTTTAAATCCATGGACAGAACTATTGACAAGTGTTCTTTTATGTACAGATAAAACAGCAGTCGGTTAGGTGCAATTCTATTACCATTCTAACTGCTGTTAGAACATTTATAATCAGATATGTCAATTCTCTACTGTATCCTTCAGGTAAGATACCCAATAAAAAATATCTCTGGTTTCAAGTCTATATGCTGTTTTGTCATTTTTTCTAGCCATGTATGAATTTTAGTCCAATATCTTTTGGCATCACATATGATAATGTGATTCAGGTATCTGGTGATACTTCCAACATTTCTCCGATTTATTCTTGAACATCCTTGCTATTCTTGCCAGGGGGGAAATGCCACCTGTAAAACATCTTATACAAATTCTCTTTATATTATGTTGACATTGTTATTTTATAGTTTCGAGACCATAATTTCTGCCATTTCTCTAAGTCTATCCCATATCCTAAATTTCCCCCCATGTAATCATTGTTTAAGTTGTTCTTCTTCTAATTTAACTTCAAGTAAATGTCCATATAATCACCTCATCAGTGCCTGTCAAAATTCCATCTAATTCAGTGAATTCATTATAAAATCCTTCTGTCCTACGATCTTTATCATATCTAGAATGTATTTGCACATATGAATATCAATTCATCTTTATTTCTTGTTCTTCTACTTCTTGCTTAGATTTGAATTCACCCTTTTCATTTAATATTTCACCATATCTAACTGTATGTTCCATTTTATAAACAATTGGATATGCATATGCCTCTATAGTTGACAACCAGATTGTATTTTCAACACATTAACTTTTGTTAATATCAAAATAAATTCCAATAAAAATAAAAATGTTTCAGAAAATTGTTAACCTTAAGATGCAAATAGTAAATATATAATTAGGTGTGTGCCAGAGTTCCCACAGAAAAAAAACGACAAAAAGGTGATCTTAAGATCTTATTAAATTGATGAAATATATCATCAATTGAAAGGTAGTCAAATTCCAGCATCAAAATTTCACTAATAACTGAACACTATTAGAAAATCCTGGATGCAACGTATCAGTTCAATATTAGATACTTTTCTTTTTAAACTTAATTTATTCTTCAAACTTTAATAAACAACTCACCATGTTTTATGAAGTATGTTTTTATTTTAATAATTAATTTTTAACATCTTCGATTTATACACATAAGAATAGAGTGGGCGTTGTTTATCTGAATGCCAGTTTTCCTTGTTAAGCAAGACAGGTCAGGATGGATGTTACTCCTCTTCAGCTAAGGACTGAGTCTGTGCAAAAGGCTTATTAACCTAGCTCCGCCCATTCTGGGTTACTCAGTTCTGCGAAGACCTTGTGACAGACTGAATTGCCTCTAAGAAAAAGGGAATAAAAGGAACAAGAACATTATCAGAATCCCCCTTCTCATAGGTCATCCCCCCCCCCTTCTCTGGCCAAGACCATTCCCCAAAGGGTGGGGCTGACCTGTCTTGCCTAACAAGGAAAACTGGCATTCAGGTAAACAACGCCCATTTTCCCTTGTAAGGCTGCGACAGGTCAGGATGGGAAATACCAAAGCAGGGTTGTCCTCAGGAGGGTTAAGATTGGTCCTGGTCTTCTCGGTCCGAAACAACTTGTTGCAGGACCCGTCTTCCAAATGCCATATCCACCGATGCGAAGGAGTCCAGCCAGTAGTGGCAGATGAAAGGCGAAGGGGGCGTCCACGTGGCTGCTCTGAAGTCCTCCTCCAATGACGCTTGCGTTGCCAAAGCTGTCATAGTCACTGCACTGCAAGTGGAATGCGCCGTTATGCCTTTGGATACCGGAAGGGACCAACTGGAATAGGCTTGAGCTATACATGCCTTGATCCATCTACTTACTATGGATGGAGTCACCTTTCGTTCCAATGTGGAAGGTTGGAAGGAACAAAGAGATTCCGTCCTGTGGAATTCAGCAGTTTGAGGTAAATGTTTAAGGCTCTGCGCAAATCCAAGGTGTGCCAAGCCTTCTCCAACTCATGGACCAGGACAATAATCCGGGAGAACCAGTTCCTGAGCTCTGTGGAAGGAGGTGTTGACCTTAGGAATAAAGGCCAGGTCCAAACGTAAGACCACCCGGTGGGGATGGAAGAGACAGAGATCAGGTCGAACCAAGAGGGTGACCAACTCAGAAACTCTCCTTGCTGAAGTAACTGCCACCAAGAATGCAACTTTCAGAGTAAGAAGATGCAGGCTGGACTGTCTGAGTGGTTCAAACGGAGGTCTGGTAAGGGACTGCAGGGCGTTGGTCAAATCCCAAGTAGGGTACCTATGTACCATAGGAGGGCAAAGGTTGGTCACTCCTCTGAGGAACCTACGGACAGTAGGGTGCTGAGACAAAGATTCTAACTTCCCACAAGTCAGCACCGAAGAGCTAACCATCACCTGCCTGTGAAGTGTGTTGGGGGCAAGACCTTTGTCCAGGCCGGCCTGTAGGAATTCCAAAACAGTAGCCACCGAGGCTTGCATAGGAGAAATGTTAGCCTTGGCATACCAAGTAGAAAAGGATTGCCATGTAGCCTCATAAATACGGATGGTTAAGGGTCTCCTGGAGGCCTGAATAGTCTTAATCACCTTGTTGGAGAGGTGGGCGCTTTTTAAGATGCCCCACTCAATCACCAAACTTCCAGATGTAGCCACTGGGCCTCCGGGTGAATCAGGGACCCCTGAAGAAGAGAGACATTCTCCTCAGGAATCCACCAAGGGGGGGGGGGGGGGCAACTGAGAGACCCATCAAATCAGCGAACCACAGCCTACGAGGCCAATAGGGAGCCACTAATATCACCTCAGTTTTCTCCAATAAGATTTTGCGAACTACGGCTGAGAGCAAAGGCAATGGAGGAAAAGCGTACAGCAAGCCGGGAGGCCAGCTACAACGCAAAGCGTTGGTCCCTTCCACCCATTGGGTAAAATATCTAGAGAAAAACTGGGCATTAAGGGGCATTAAAGGGGTGGCAAACAAATCTACCCCTGGCAGTCCAAATCTGTGCATAATTTGACGTGATCAGCTCGGATAGAAATAATAATTTGATGTGATCAGCTCGGATAGAAAGAAAGTGACGCTCAGCCCATCTACCCAGGGCTTCTACTTCTGTCTTAAGCGATAAGGACCTGGTGCCCCCTGTCTGTTGATATGGGCTTTGGTGGCAGCATTGTCATAACCAGGACATGCGAACCAGATACTTGATGTAGGAACTGCCTCAGGGCCAAACGGACCGCTCTGAGTTCTAACCAATTGATGCTATGGGCCTGTTCTCCACAGACCATAAGCCCTGGGCCCAGAGGGGATCTAAGTGAGCCCCCCAACCTGTCAAGGAAGCATCCGTTGTGAGGACGAGGTAAGGTTCCACTTTAAAGGAATGGCCTTTGGACATAGCTCTAGATAGCCACCAGTGGAAGTAAAGAGAAATCTGCTTAGTTAACTTCACCTTCCTAAGGGAATGACTCGACCCAGACCTATGATGAGGTAACAAGAACCACTCAGCCACTCTGTTTCGATTCTCAAGTTTGAGTCTCAGCAATTGAAGGAACGCATTAATATCCTGTAGTTCTGGGGCCTGTTCATAGTACAATTGCACCACCCAGTCAGAAGCCTCCTCCTCATTCATCCCATCTGTTATTGCAGTAACTAGATCATGTTTGGTTGCATATTAGTCTCCAAATTGGTCTATGTGAGACCAGATTTGTGTGAGGAAATAAGAAAATTGTTCAGGGCATCCATCAAAATTGGCCCTGAACTGCATCTGGTCTCTCTGGGGCCAGGGTGTTGCTGGCGCTAGCATCCACTGGTACTGGATCCACCCTTGACCAGGATAAAATCCCCACCCTGTAGGGATGCTTTCTGCAGGGGGTAAATTTCCTTCTGGGTGTGGGGGAGAAGAAGAAGATTGCAACATACCTGTATTAGGTTGCATTTCTCATCTCTCCCTTGAAATCTGATCCTGTTGGCCTTCCAATATAATTGGAGCTTCACACGTCCAATATACCTCCTTTGCAGTATGTAAAAGGCTTGATGGAATGAATTTTTTAGGCAGCTTTCTCTCTGGTCCTGGTTGACAACTCCTCCAGGAAACTGTGCCTTCGTGCTGGGCTCCTAAATCTTGTCTCTCTTCCACATGCCTTAACTCCTCCAAAGGGGGGCTGGGGGATTCAATTAATCTTCCAGTGGTGTCCCCCCAATGCCCTTCTGTCTCACCTCCCATGCTGGCTGAGTATTCGGATTGATTCATAGTTGAAACAAATCCTGGGGGCTTAACCATCCCCCAACAGCTCCCTCTGGGAGAGCTGGAAGTTGTTAGAGTTCCGGACTGAGACACACAGTCCCAAGCTACAACCCCCACCTTTTTTCCCCGTCACGTGCACCAATCCCACAGTAAGTTTTATTCTTTTCTGCGCCACACTCTGTAACCTTGAACTATCAAAATAATATATTTTGTCTACTAAGAGCTACTCAATTTACATCACCCCCTCCCACATTCTTCAACTGTGTGGTAGCAATGAATTCCGTCGCTGACAGGAGGCAGCAAGCCAACTGGTGTAGAATAAAGAGCTGAGCTAGTGAGCAAGTAGGACCGGTTGCAGAACAGGGAGGAAAAACAGCTGTGGGGCAGAGGCCAGCTGACTGAGGGCAGTGCAATGACCGGTAGAGAGTGAAGAGGAGAGCCGGTGAGAGAGCAGAGCAGAGAGGGAGGGAAGAGAAGGCAGATGAGCTTGCTGGGGACCATCCAGGTGGAAGCACCGTCTCGAGGTTGTGGGGATTGGAATTGGATGAGGAAGAGCTGGCTTTAAATCAACCCTAGCAACACTGAGTGGCTTTGGATATTACAGACACTTTCTTCCAAGGATTTTCCATCTTTCATCTTCTGTTTGGGGGGGGGGGCACACTACCCCAAGCAGAAAAACTGCACAATCTGGACTCCAAACTCCTGTTCAATGAAAAGGCAGCAGCTGGGATGGGGATGGCTTTCCACAATTTTGTGTTTCTGCCAATTGGACTCTTTCTTAGACAGCAAGGCCCTTCTCAAAGCAATTCATGCCTTTCACGTCTCAAATGGAATGTATTTTACATGAAGCTGCCCTTGAACAGAACCCAGAAGTTATAGTTGGTAGATAATATCCCAGCAGTTATATGCACTCCTTAATCAGTATATATTACACCTTTGCTCTGTGAGCTGCATTGGCTGCCAGTATGTTTCTGGTGCTGGTTGTAAGCTTCATGGCTTAATCTTGGTATATGAGAGACTGCCTCTCATGAGGGATTGACCCATCTCATTAGATCCAAAAAGAGATGGATCTCTGGGTTTAATTTTTAAGGGCACGTAACTGCTGTTATATTATCTATCAGCTATAACTTCTGGATTTGGTGGGGGCCAGGAAAAGAACCCTTTCTGTTGTGTCTACATTTTGGAATATCATTTTCATTGGCTCCGATCCTGTTGTCCTTTTGCCACATTTACATACCGGGTTCTATCACTGAACATGAGAATCAGAGAGAGTGGTTTAATCTGTGCAATGATTGTGCTGATTGGTTATTAGTGAATTTGTTTTCAGCCAAACATGTTGATTTTATGCTGTTTTAAATATTGTCAGTTGCCCAGATCTATTCTCATGACGGTATTAGAGCAAGAAAGAAAATAAAGGATGTATGACACAACTAAACCCTAGTTCCACTATTAACCACCCAATGTTATATAATTAACCAGCAGTCATATTGTGTAAATCATGGGTTAGTTAATATGATGTCCAAAGTGATCTATAAATGAGTGCTAAAACAATAATATCCCTAAAATAAGGAAACATCACAATAAGCCGGAGTAGGTTTAATGCCACTACAATATTTCTGAAACTTACAAACCTTTATTATTCCACCAACTAAAAATAGTTGACACTCTACAGGAAAATAGTTCTGAATTTTGTCTACTAATTTTGCTTCAAACACAATCATTACATTCACAGCTAAATACTTGTATACTTATCAATAGGTATACCTCATTTGCTTTTAAAAAACCTTCTGTTTATATCTAAGCATGTACAGAATTCCAGCTTCAAAGTCAAACTACATAATATGCTGTATGCTTCTTCTTTTATTTCAAAACCGAGGAAAGAGAATTCAAACGTCACTTTATTAGTCAAAATTCTATTTGTTTTCATCACCAGAAATTGGCCACGCTCACTTGGGGACGAAACAGACAACTACCTATTATACTTATCCCAATTATAATACAATATGAGCTTAATAGAAGATGGATTCTAATACTGGGAGTTTTTCCATAGGCATACAAGGAATGAGCAATGACCTAGGAACCTCAGATCTGGACTGTTAAAAATCCAAATAAACACAAAATGAAAGCAAAGATAGGTGTTTTTTTTTTGTCATTTTAATCTAAAAGCTCAATGTGAAGGAGTAGAAATTTAGATACAGGTGTAATATATCACAGGGAAAAGAGAAAAAAGGCCTGTCCAGTTCTGCCAGGGCAGAACCCCTATCAGAAAGCCGCCGCTCTGGAAGAGACGGGGGAGGAATTGTGAGCCACATAGTTTTGCATGCTTTCATTTTGTTGTTGCTGTATCTGCTTGGGAGCTTAAAAGGAGGAGGAGTTCACACTATCTGCAGTGACTCCTTCTGAACGGGTCTGGGTTTCCGAGGTCGCAGTGCCCTAAAGATGAACTCTTCTAAAACCATCCAGCATCAGTGATTTCCAAAAAACACCTTTGTGGCGTATTATGATGGACACAGGGTATCAAAGAGGAGGGGGGTGTTGAAAGGGAAAAGTTAGCCTAAAGCTTTGCACCTGAATTTCAGACTCTGCCTGACTTCTCTGCAATCACTCTCTCTCAGTAAAAGTTCCTTTTGAAATGGAAATTGTTTCAAGAATTTTACTTTCTTGGGAAGGTAGCTGAGGCAGATCCTTACAGTTAAACCTAGCCTGGTAATTCGGAGACCAACCCGCAAGTATGGAGAAAAAACCTTTACCCTCATCCTACACCTGAGCTATAGATATTTGCCACTATTGCACACTTCTTTTTGTCGATTTCCTACCAGTAGGAAGAAAACAAAGGATTCTTTTTTTCCTCAAAACTATATTTCACTATCTTAATTCTTGACTAAAGCCATCAGCAGCAAAATTTCAGTTAAAGGATTAAGAAGTCACATAATCACAACATATATTGCAGACTTTATTGCTTTATAACATGATCTTAATAAAACACTCCTGCACCCAAATTTGGGACACCTTCTTAGGCTGATTAGATTATAATTACTACAACGAGTTAGTGTAAATATTTTAAAGTACATATTATTTAAAGAAATGCATAATTTGAAAATAGGAACCCTTTAAAAATAAATCAAATCAAAATGACCTCTATGTCTATTCAAGTGTAATGTGACAGAAAAAAACCTCAAGAGTTGGGTAATCGCATCAGCATTTTTCTACCTTTTGCAATACTTATTATCACGTCTAAAACTGAACAATTAAGATTGTGGCAAAGCCTACCTATGGGCAGTTTCCCAAAAGCAGTTCCTTCCACAAACATCAGAAGGCAGCATCCAGTAGGAATTCCAGTAAGATACAGAAATATTCTTACACCTAACAGGGTAAGACAGAAACAATCCCGTGTGAATATGGTATTTTATCAATTTCCATTGCCCTGGAATATTTTACTTGCTCCTTTAAAAAATGTCATTACTAAATGATAATACTGGTCTGTGACTGTAATAAAGATTAATTGATTGATTACTAAATGATCTGTTCCACTCCTTGAAGACACAACTTTCTCTAGTTGTGTTAAGTACACTGTATTGTATAAGGATAAATCAAATAGGACCGTGATGGCGAACCTATGGCACGCGTGCCAGAGGTGGCACACAGAACCCTCTCTGTGGGCACACAAGCCTAGGTGAACTCCACCGTGCACGCGTGCGTGCTTCCCACCGGCCAGCTGGTTTTGGGGGCTCTGCTTTGCATGCATGGGGACAGGGTGCATGCGCAGGTGCGTGTGCATGCGTGGGGGTGCGCACGCATGCGTGGGGGTGGGGTGCATGTGCGGGGATGCAGGCGCATTGCATTTTGGGGGTTTGCACGCGCATTGCATTTTGGGGGGTCGCGCACGCATGCACGCTTTGAGCACCCAGTGCCAAAAACGTTAGCCATCGCTGAAATAGGAGCAAAAAGTTTCATCAAAAAGCCCAGTTTCAGTGTAATGTCAAATCTTACAAACGTTAAATTCAGTGGTACTTATTAGATAAGTATGAACAATTAATACCTATCATATAACATATTTACTATGTTTGCCATTAAACTTGTTTTTATACTAAAATATTTGTACAGACCAGATACTGCCTATCAATAAAAATGTCAGTGACATACAAAAGAAGTAAAAAAATTGTAACTTTTAAAAGATACTCCAACGAACACGGATTTATGTTTTAGTGCTATTTTTGTAGTCATTTCAATTTTTTTGCTTGTGAATAATTTATTTTCTTCTAATATTCTATTTGTGCATCATTTTGGCTAGTGTTGATTTTTTTTTTCTATGAAGAACCACTTTATTTTAAAAATCATGTATTATGTAGTATTTCATAGGACAATAAGTTGCAAGTTGCTGAGCCACAAACAATATATTTCTAAGAAGCATCTATTTCTTCTTGAATGTTTGCCAGGAAAAATTAATATATATTTAAATTTTAAATAATTTGAAATTTTAAAAGTGAGATTGAATTGCTATGTAGTCAAAGCAGCATTATTTATACACAAGATTGAAGAAGTGAATGGGCGCTCCCCATTTAATGTGTTCTTCCTGAGAGATGCTGCTGCTGAAGGTTCCCAATGAAGTCAAGTGGATGGGTCTCAGAATCTATGTGTCAACCCTGAAGCTGACTGACCGAGGCCATTTTGAGGCTTCAGTGTTGCCGCTCTGGAGCCGAGGGACAGGGACGGGGGGATAGAGACAGTGGGGATTTATAATCAAAACAAAATACTTTCTCTTGGGAACCAAGGACATTCCCACAGGTGGCCGGAGAAAGACGGATCGCTGTCGCCTGACAAGCTGTAACTCCACTGCTGACAGCCTATGACAGTGACAAAGACGACCCAATGGTAAGGGAGACCACCTGTTCATTCACAATTCGGTCGAGGTTAATGGTACCAACAACTGGGGTCCATGGGGAAGTAGACACAGGCTGCACCCATTGTCTGATCAGTCTGCCCACAGTCCGAAAGCTGGGAATTAGGATGAGGCCCCTAGCCAATCCCATATGCTTCAAACAGGCCAATGGGCCGCTGATAGGAGGAATCCTTGCCATGCTCCTCACGGAACCTGTAAGATTAGAGATGGACCGGCACTGGGAGCTCATCTGATTTGTAGTGGTACCAAAAATGACAGCAGCAGTGATTCTGGGCTTGGCATGGCTGGACAAGTGAGGCCCCACCATTTTGTGGGAAGGTGGCTACAGGAAGTTGAAACTGGGAATAGGCCCCCTCCTAACACTGCTGGAGAAAGAACTGTCCAACAAATGAACTGCACTAAGTGAAGCGAAAGAGCCGCTGCTGCCTCACAGCCGCTCCCGGGCACCCCCACAGATCCCCAGAGAATCCCACGATTTAGCCGGGTGTTCAGTGAGGATTGCAATATGCTATTCCCCCACCGCTCCACGGACTGCGCCATGGAAATCATACCAGACGAAAACTGCCCAAGCCAAAAATGTACTCCATGACACCCAAAGAGATGAGAGAACTGAGGGAGTACATTGACACCAACCTAGTCTGTGGATTTATCCAACTGGCTAAGTCCAAAATGACTGCCCCCTGTCCTCTTCAAAGAGAAAAAAGATGGGTTGTTGAGACTCTGCGTGAATTTTAGGGGAATTAACGCTGTATGCATGGAAAAGATATACCCACTCCTCCTCATGAAAGACATGCTGGCCCGCTTGGCCAAGGGAAAAGTGTTCACCAATTTGGACCTATGAGAGACATACTACTGAGTGCGAATCAAGGGAGAAGACAAGAGGAAAACTGCTTGCAATTGGCCCTTAGGGAGTTTCCAATTCAAAGTAATGCCCTTTGGCTTACAAGGAGACCCTGCAGTCTTTATGCAACTGATAAATGAGGTGATACCCCTGTATAAAGGGGTCCTTCTGTACTTAGATAACATTTTTATCTTCACTGAGACCCTCGAAGAACATGTTAAGCTATTATGTCAAGTATTGAAGAAAGTCTAAACTTGTGGCTAAACTATACATGAACTTATCAAAGTGTGAACACCACAACACCAGCCTACACTACCTGGGCAACCGAGTGTCAAATGAGGGCATAGAAATGGACCTGGCTAAAGTTAAAGCAGTTCTAGGCGGGCAACCCCTACATATGCAAAAACAGCTGCAGAGCTTTCTGGGATTAGCGAACTTCTGCCAACAGTTCATCCCCTCTTTCGCTGAGATTGCCCTGCCAATCACCGAACTGCAAAAGACTGGAGGGGAGCTTCAGCAACCATGGCCAAGCCAGGCCCTAAAATGTCAGTGGGTATTTGAGGCACTAAAAAGGATGTTAACCAAAGAGCACCCAGAACAACCCTTCATAGTCCAAGGCATCGCAGCAGTTCTCCTCCAGAGGAACACAAACAGCAACTTGCAATCTTGCACATACATCTCCAAAAAATTGACAGAAACTGATAGGAGGTGGGTGGGAGAAGGAAGCCCAGGCGGTCAGGTGAGATCTACTGATCTGGAGGTACTATCTGGAGGACAGCAATGGGCCATTTGAAGTGTGGACTGATCACAAGAACCTAGAGGCACTCAAAAAACCATGAAAACCCTCCCCAAAGCAAGTCTGCTGGGCACAGTATTTCGAACAGTTCAAGTTTGAGCGAAAGTACATCCCTGGGGGGAAAAGCCTCCTGGCAGATGCCCTATCTCACAAACTGCAGTACAACAGTAAACGTGAAGAGCTAGTCCATGCCATGATTCTCCCCTCTCAACTTGCCTCACAAGCCATGATCAGAGGACAGGCTAGACAACAAGAAATTGCAGACGGGGGAGGAATGACCAAAAAACTTAGAACTGCCAGCCAATCCCTGGTACAAAAATAACCAAGAGACCCTGACCCTGAGACAGATAGTTTGGAAAGTCTCCAAATTTTATGTGCCCGACAGTCTGCAACTCCAAGTGCTCCAATAAAGTCACGATTCTAAGCAGACAGACCACTTTGGCTACTTGAAAACCCTACATCTGGGCAAAAGGCAGTTTTGGTGTCAAAGATGAAAAAGGACATTGAGGACTATGTTAAAAGCTATGCCATTTGTGCCACCATGAGGAAGAGGCCAGGGAAGACTCCCAGGTTGCTTCAGCAAGTGGCAGATCCATCCAGACCCCGGAAAAAGATTGCCATGGACTTTATTGTTGAACTCCCTGAGTGGCAGGAATACGGTTATTTGGACGGTAATTGATTTATTCTCAAAACAAACCCATTTTATAGCTTGCCCAGGGCTCCTGTCAACAAAAAAATCTGGCCAAGCTGTTCATAAGGCAGATTTATAGGGTGCATGTATCCCCTGCAAAATAATCTCTGATAGGAGGGGTACAATTCACTGCTAAGTTCTAGAGGGAATTCATTCAGTACATTGGGTCTTCACTGAGGCTTAGCTCAGCCTTTCATCCACGTACCAATGGGACCACAGAACGTACAAATGCCATGATGGAGCAATACTTGAGGTGCTATGTCAACTACCAGCAATCTAACTGGAAAAAGTTACTGCCGTTCACTGAAGTGGAATACAATAATATGGTGCACAGCAGTACTTGGCTGACCCTTTCTCAGGTCACCAGTGGCACAGAATTCGTCCCCATGCCTGAACTCCCCAGGGAGCCTCCCCCTCATCCATGTTACTAAATGAATGGATGGAGTCGCTGAAGGAAGTGTGGGAAAATACCAAATGGGTGTTTCAAGAAGCAGCAAAAATCCATAAAATGCAAGTTGATAAACACCGCAGCCCCCAAGTGCCATTTCAAGTGGGGAGAGGAAGGTTTATCTTGCTACGAAGTACCTGAAATTAAAGCTACTTTGTAAAAAGCTAGGACCTGCCCCCATAGTGAAAGTCATCAAGTCTGTTACAATACAGCTTAGACTCCCTCACTTGTTAGGAAAAGTGCACCTGGTTTTTCATAGCACCTTGTTAAAGCTGGCAGTAGGCTCCCGGATCAGAATGGTAGATCAGGAAGCCCCAAAACCAAGAGTGGTGCAAGGGGAAACACATTATGAGGTAAAGAAAATCTTAGATTCTAGATTACATAGGGGCCACTTGCAGTATCTAGTACCTACTCTCTGAGGCAACCTGGGTCAAAAGCTAGGATGTAAAAGCAGACAGATCGTTAAGCAGTTCCACAATGATTACCCCCAGAAGCCTAAAAGTCCCCCCGGGAGGTGGACCGGGAGGCTAGAGTGAATCTTGAGTAACATCTCTGCAATTTTTTTCTTTGCAGGAAGTCCTCTTCAATTAAGAGCCTATCAACCCTGAAGCTCACCTGACCGAGGCCATTTTGAGGCTTCAGTGTTGTCACTGTTACTGAGGGATAGGGAGTGGGGCCTAGAGATAGTGGGGGTTTGTAGTCAAAACGAAGTACTTTCTCCTGGGAACCAAGGATATTCCCACGGGTGGCTGGAGAGAGGAGGAGCGATGTTGCCTGATAACCAGATGGGATCTTGATTGGACCATGTGACTGATTGTCTGGGAAAAGGTAACTTTTACTTTGATGAAAACCGCAGGAATACAGTCTCGGTTTTCACCAACTTATGCCATTATGGTATGTCCAATAAACCAATTTTTTCGAGGAACCTACTTGCCTTGGAGCTTTGTTATAGTTGTATTACTTGGAACCCTGACACTATGCTTTTTGGGATCTTTCCTCTGCTGTGGAATACCATGCATGTAAAGGCATAGGGGGATAAACATTTTGCGATTAATGATGGATGGGAAGTAACACAGCTTGAATTTTAATAAAGTATGCTTTATATATTTTTATGAAAATTAGATGAATATAGATTGTTTACTTACATGGATACTTTTATGATAGTAAACAGCCCAAATTCTTTAATATTTAGAGTATACAAACTGCTGTATGAACAAATAAAATGCTGGAGTACTTGGAAACATTTTTTATAAAAAGACCAAGATACAACATCAAGTAAATATTCAGGTAGAGTTAAAATGCTGACTATTGTGAAAGGGATGGGAAAAGGAACCACCAGGAAACTGGTGTAAGGACAAATGCAAAGGGATTATTATTACAAGTGCAAAGGGATTGTTATTATGGAGATATGGTACAATTGAATGAAATGTTACTGTGGGACAATCATACTTCCGTATAATCCATATTAAATACACCTAATTCTTGCTTAACAAATTAATGTGCAAAGTAATTATGCTACATAAATTTGGTAGGATAATTAAAAATGAAAATAGTATTGCCTTTTTATGATCAACACACTTAATTCTGTAGTGCTTTTCATACAAAAGTAATCATATGGTACTAATAAAACAGCTTGAAAAAGTTAATTACATGGACTGAGACACACAAAAACCTTTTAAGTTACAGGAGTCTAAATCCCCATAAGTCAATACTGAAGACAAGGCCTCTACTCGTCTTCAGATAGTATTAGGGGCTAACCCTTTATCCAGACCCTCTATCCAGGATCTGAGGGATGGAGACTGCTGTGGGATCCAGACCTGCCTTAACACACCAACTACAGAATACCTTCCAAGTAGAATTGTAAATTCTGTCGGTGGAAGGGGTCTTGGAAGCCTGTGTCGTCTGAATCACCCTTCTTGAGAAGTTGTCCCTCGTCAGGAGCCACCTCTCAAGTGCCAGGCGGTCAGTTGAAGCCACTGAGGCTCCAGATGGATCAAGACCCCCCCTGGCTGAGAGAGACCCTGTCTCGAGGGATTCTCCAAGGCTGGGACACAGAGAGACTGACAAGGTCTGCAAACCATGGCTGTCTGGGCCAATAGGACGCGATCAGCAAGAGCTCTGCCTGCTCCACGAGAAGTTTCCGATTACTCCCAGTATGATGGGGAGAGGAGGGAAGGCATATAAGAGGCCCCTGGGCCATGCATAGCGGAGGGGTTGATTCCCTCTGCTCCCGGGGTTGGAAACCTTGTGAAGTATCTGGGCAGTTGTGAGTTCGTCGGGGTGGCAAATAAATCCAGGACTGGATGGCCGAAACTCTGGCACAGTTCTTTCAACTGCTGCTGGAGATGCCCCCCGCCAAAGAGGCTGGCGTCTCAGGTCAAAGTCAGATGGCTGGGCTCCTTGAATAGTGTTGCCATGGCGATTGCTGGGGACACCCACCCCAAGGGACCTGAAAGTCTCTAAAGGGACCCTGACCTTGGCTCTGGAATTGCTGCCCTCTTTCCTCTGGAATGGTAGGAGGAACCATTGCAGAGTCCTTAGGTGTGATCCGGCCCATGGAACAATGGCTTTACAAGGGACCATCTTGCCCAGGAGTTGAGATAGAACTAACAATGGAACCAAGCATTCTGCCCTGATTTGAGTGACCGAGGACTTGATACTGTCCTGTCAGATGACAAATTGATAAGGAAAATGTATAGAGTACTATTGGAATGTAAATTAGAGGAAGAAAAAGTAAAAAAGAAACTATGTTGGGATGGATGAAATATTTTGGGCATAGTATGAATTTGGACAAATGGCAAAATCTATGGGAATGAAATAAAAAAATAACATTGGCTACATCATATAAAAAAAAATTATCTAAAATGTTTTATACATGGCATATTCCCCCAACAAAATTGGCTAAAATGTATCCAAATTTATCCCCTATATGTTGGAAATGCGCTAAGGAAAATGGATCGTATTATCACGTATGGTGGACTTGTAGGAAAGCCCAAAATTTTTGGCATAAAATCCAGAGCTGGTTAGATGCGTGAAACTAAAGTAGAATATAAACAGGAACTTTTCTAATTGGGAATCAATTTAGAGAGATATAACAAAGATATATCTAATAATACATGCATTTTACAGCTACAAGATTAGTTTATGCCCCAAAATGGAAATGTAAGGAAATTCCAGACGAAATAGAGATAATCAGAAAGACATGGACATGCGCAAAAATGGACAAATTGACGCAAGAATTAAAAAATAAAAGACAAATCTGAATACTATAAAAAATTTTTTATAGTATATAGTATAGGAAAAAGTTTTACCACTGGTTGGGAAAAAAGGAAGGATCAGGATTATTAAAAATAACTAATGTTAATGTATATATTATATATTATGTATACAGTATGAAAACGTGTATTAATCTTCATATGAATTAGCGAGGTAGACAACTAGGTGTGTCAGGATGATGACACCACGTTCATTATTTTTAAATGCTTCACCCTTTTTTTGTTCAATAAAATTATTTTTTAAAAAACAAAAGTCGGTAATATTCTTGTGAATATTATCATTCGTAGTTCTATTAGTTAAAGTAGTATTTTCGTGTAACAAATATATGGGGATGTATAAACAATCTGAAACTTGGTGGAGTCGATGGGATATCTTTGCTTAGGGCAGGGGTGGCCAACCTTGGCCACTTTAAAGACTTGTGGACTTCAACTCCCAGAATTCCTCAGCCAGCAAAGCTGGCTGAGGAATTCTGGGAGTTGAAGTCCACAAGTCTTCAAGTGGCCAAGGTTGGACACCCCTGGCTTAGGGTCTATTTACTGAGGTAGCGACTCTTAGCAAGGGACCCACCAGGCGGGCTTTTCCTCTCTTTCTTGGGGACCCAGCCCACCCATCCGTCCACTCCTCATGAAAGAGGGAGAAAGGAAGAAACCCTTCCTCCCCCCAGCTCCCTCAAGCTTAAGCGCCGAGCTTTATACCTCTCCGGACCCGACGGCCGCTGTCTCTCGTCGCGGCCTACGCTTCCCGCCACAGCTTCCAAGCGCGTGTCGTCGTCGCCCAGCTGCCTCCGGACTGGAAAGGCGGAGTCCCCCCGGCGCCAGGGCGCCTCCTGTTCTAGCGACAGAGCCAGTTGGCTGAAGGTGTACAGGAGCGAGCACAAACCGCAGCCCAGGCACAGCAACACCACCCGCGCCAGCCGCCTCATGTCTCCCGCGGCCCCGGCCGCCGGATGAAGCCGGAGCCGCTCGCCCGGGGAACGCCTGAGGCGTCGTCCCTCAGCCGCTTTGGAGACTCGGAAAGGCGGGCAAAGAACCGACGATAAGCCTCGCTTCGGTCCCCGACGCCGGACGAAGAGTGGGAAGAGCCCCCCGTGAGGTAAAGGCGGCGCCAGTGAGGCGGCTCTGCCTCAGCGAGGAGGAGCCAAGCGCCCCAAGAGCGGTTGGGTGGCGGGGAGGGCGGCGTTGGGCCTTGTGGGCTTAGCTGCTTGGGTGGAGCCACCGAAGGCCAACCCCGGCAAGCGGGGGCGTCGAGCTACGGATTTTGAGCGAGAAACGCTTCGGCGGTCGGGGAGCCGGGGGGTTGAGGTGAATTAAAGCACAAACGGCAGAGGAGCCGGCTCTTGTTCGGTCGACTGTGGCCTTTATTCCAAAGAAACAGTGAAGTGAAGTGAAACGTTCTGCTGGAAGACCCCAGTGCGGTTACTTGGAAGCCATGATCCGAATTTAAAATTAGGAGAGGCGATATGTGGGGTTGCTTTTGATCTTGGGTTTTCAACCTGATCGGCAACAAGCTCTAGAGCAGGGGTGTCCGACCTTGGCCACTTTAAGACTTGTGGACTTCAACTCCCAGAATTCCTCAGCCCGAGCAAGGGTGTCCAACCTTGGCCACTTTAAGGCTTGTGGCTGGCTGAGGAATTCTGGGAGTTGAAGTCCACAAGTCTTAAAGCAGCCA